ACTTCTAACCTCGTATACTCTCGCTGGATTTCCTAAGGGTCATCGCGGTCAGCAAAAGGACACACATTTTGCCAAATCGATGGTTCGTCGACAAAGTTTCTTATAGCTTGTTCGATGTCGAAATCCATCCTTTCATCTGGATCTTCTCTGTCCTCTGCAGCATTAGGTGTCGAAATCGGAGGTCCTAAGGCTATTTCCACTCCATTGATAATGAAATTTGTTGATTTTGAGATAAGAGAATTTTTAGGGTTCGTCGCGTTTTTGATTTTGGGATTTGGGGATCGATTTTTTTAACAGAGAGAAGAAAATTTTGGGTTTTGGTTTGGGATTTCAGGTTGATTTCAGGTTGATTTCGGGTGGGTTTCGGGTTAAAAATCAGATTCAGTTTCAAATCTGGTTTACCGTGTTGTAATCTGGTCATTAACGATTAACTAACGGTTATATTTTCTTAAACAGAAACTTGATCTACAGTAAACCGAATTTAAACTAATATGGGGTCCAATAAGCGTTTAATGTTCATTTTATGGTGAAACAAATGTTTAATGTTTATTATGGGGTGAAATAATAGTTCAAAGTTCATATTAGGGGGAACTACTGCGAGATTAGTTATCCGGGTGTTTCTACGAAGATATGAAAGTTTCGGGGGTGAAATAGTACGTTATCCCACAATAATCGGAAAAAGTTAATTAATGGCCAAATGGACTAAACAAATCGGTCATAAAATTTAATTTACGAGATTTCAAAAGAAAACGAATACATTGTAAAGTAAACAATAACTCGTATAAAAGATTGGAAAGTGACCAAATTATGTCGCTTATACATGATAGGATCAATCATCCTTAAATTGTTGCTAATTTTACAACGCCTTCAACAACCTCTAATTCATCGACTTTCACTGATCTCTGGAAATCGCATACCGAATTTTGTATCGTCTTTGGTGGATCATCTGAAACCAACAACAACAAAACAAAATGCTCTAATGGTAAACCAATTAACCAAGATGATGTAAAGCCATCTAAAGGAATGTGTTGAGAAGATAGGAACTGGGTCTTACTTCAACATGGTGGCTCAGCCTGGTGGCTCGAACCTAGCTTTTTTCTTTAACCAACTTGGTAAGATGTGGTTAGGTACAATATCAGATTAAGACTCATGTGAACCGATGAATCAACTTCTTTTGTGAACATAACCGATCAAGTTAGTTTTGATACACAATTTGGTATTATGGGAATGGCGTTTCATTTGAAATTCGCGTTTTTCGCGTCTTTTAATTGCAATAAAGTCAAGTTTCTGGGATGCTTTGTTCGTGCTTGCAATACTGATGTAATTTGTGATGCTTCTAAGCTTCCTAAAGATGATGGCGCACAACCTTGAGCCCTTTTTATGTGACCAAAATGTTTTCTTGACATTAATTGATATCTTATGGATTTTTTTTGTTATTGTTGGAAAGCATGAATCAAAAAACATAGATTATATATATTTAAATGAATCATTTCTTGATATAAGTGAATACAAACTGAGAGTAGATAATCATTTCATATAAACTAAACAAACGATACATTGTAAGCAAACATATATTTTCTTTTTAGCAAATCAACTACTATATAAAACTAACGAGACGAAATGAAACTGACACATCTTCATTATCATCCCCATTTTCTTTCTTTCCTTGATTAAATCAATCACTATAATAATGATCTCTAACCAATATAAAGTCATAAATTTGTACACAAATTGCTCTATATAAAACACAAAAGTTTAACATTTTATAAACCCTTTCCACTTAATATCAACTGCATTAAAAGTGAGGTAGACGATTTTGAGACACTTTGGAGCTAAAATATATGGAAGATCATTCTCGAAAGTCTCAAGTGATATGATTCTGGTAGAATCGATTTGTCCTTTGATCACTTTGCGAGGTTGAATAGATTCGGATGATGATGATTGCAGAATTATGAACTTCTTGTGTGATGATGAATGAAATGATGAACTATATCGATGGGCAGATGGATCTGGTTTGAAAC